TGGTGAGTGATGCATATTCATATTACATCATTTGGCTTTGATTTGGTAAACGGAAATCAATCTTGGCCACAATTTAGTCCTTTCACTTTGGAGGCATATTCCTAACTTTTTTTTTTATCCTTTGCAATTAAAAAATATTACGTTTTGGTGACTTTTGCTTGCGGCTTGTATACTTATTCCCATTCTGCTTTTATGCTTTGCTCTTGGTACAAACATCCAGACATGTAGTAACACAGTATTTTGACGTTGGCCTGCAAAGCCGAGACTAAGACTATGTGTTCAACCTGGTCAGAAATATACAAATGTTTAACTTCTTAATGTGTCCTATTATCCTTGATGTGCAGTTTGATCTCTTCTAAAGAGGAAACATGAGCTGCAATGTTGCAAACTGCAGTGGAGGAGGAGAATATTTGATTTATTCCAATGTTTGTATCGTGGTAAAAGTTTTAGGGATTGGACTTTGGGTTTTCAAATTTGAATTTGGAGAAAATATTATCATAATGAGCTTTAAACCAACAGATGTGATGGTAAAAGTGACTTTGTACTGATTTAAAAAAAAAAGGATGTGTGTGTGTCTCTGTCAGTGTGTGTGTGTGTAGTAGCTATTCCACTCCAGGGTTGTTCCATGCTGATGGTAGTTTCTGGGGTATTCTAGGCTACAGACACACACTCTCTCTCATGCTTAAATATAGTCACACACTCTTTCTGTGTCTCTCTCTGTTCCTCTCCCACTTCCATTCTCTCGTCCTGTTCCAAGCCCATTCGCTCTGCTCTGTGTCTCTGTAGAGGGATTACTGTGTCCTGTGTGATTATCTGTCTATTAATAGCTTCCTTTAAGGCCGTTCACATGCTCCTATAGCGGCAGAGCGGCAGGATCCCGAGGCCCCGGGCTCCGTAACACAAGCCGACCCCAAAGCCTGCAGCCGGTAATTACTGAAGCGAACTACAGCGTACTGTACGCTAACGTAACCACTCACCAGGACCTGACACACAACAAACATGCACATATTCACTGCAATGAAAACTACCGTATGAATATATTAGCAATATTCTTTTGAAGTGTCTCCTCATCCTTATCTAGTCCTGTGCATACATTGCAGCGCCTTGCAGATTTGCATACTTCCAGTCGAGTGGGTACAACTGTAACGTGTACATATAACATTATATACAGACATTAAAGGGATGTTTTGCAGGTTAGGAAACTTGCAAAATCGCAAAAGAATAATCTGATGTTTCCATATTTAACCGTATGCTTCAGCAGTTTCTTACCTGCTAGATTTTTGACTTGCTTCACCAACTAGCTTGTGACCACAATGAACTGAAAGAAGATGAAAGGCACAAAATGATTTCCGTTCATCACTACGACAGATCCCTTTCACATTATATGTACTCATTAGATTAATTTTTAATATGAAAACATGGATTACAGCAGTGTTAATGCTTGCTTTAGCTTTCATATGATTCACCAAATTCTGCTACTCTTATCCAGGGCAACTGAAAAAAGATGGAGCAGGACTGAATATCTTGCTCAAGGACATGTAGACTTTGCAGCCGCCCTAATATTCTGGTCAGCACTCTTTTTTTAGGTATTTGGAGCACTGAGTGATCATATCACATGCAGGGCAAAGAGGAACTTGTTTGATCTTGTTGGCGGTTTAAACATGAGGTACTCTCCTCCTCAGATGGTAGATTATTTTCCTTCCTGATCACACTTGATTTAAAAGTCCCCTATTATACTGTTTTTCCTCAATATATTATAGGTCTCAGATATATACAAAACATGTCTCTGAAGTGTTTGACTCCAAACACCAAACAGATCATTGTAGCATCCCATAAACCCCTCTGTTTCAGCCCTGTTTCAAAAGTGCTGATTCTCTGTCTGTTACTTTAGATGAAAATAAGGAGCCACTCCCCACGCCCCTCTGAGAGATATTTGGTTAAGAAGAACACAATGGTGCTCTAGGAGGAGATTCAGGTGATAAGGTGGGGGGGGGGGGGGGTTACCTTGGTTGCTGATTGGCTAATGGTTACACAAGCCAGAACATCGTTATGACATCATAAAGTGGCCAAAATCTGATCAGCTCATTTTCAGACAGGTTTTTATAGAAATGGATCAGGCGAAAAAGATAGGGGGTCTTTTTTCCTGAAACTTTCAGAATCTCTTTACACAGAGGGGACACATGTTTATGTATAAAAGACGTGAACAAGTCTTGGTTCACCTAGTTTTGTGGCTCTGGGATTAAAGCCTGCAGAGGCCAGGACTCCTGCCAGTCAATCAGTGGGTTTGAGTTTGTTAGTGACTTGCCTGGTTGGACTCATTGAGCTGAGCTGCAGCAAGATGCCAGCAGGTCATAAGTAACTAGTGGCATTTGGATCAAAAGATGTTGGGAATAATCACTTAAAACGAGATCTGCCAAGGGTTGTTTTCTAGGACAGGAAACTGCACTTTCTGTTCAAACGGTCAGAGCTCGAGGAAGAGGATTTCAAGAGTTTTAATCCATTCAGTCTGATGAGCTAAACTCAATTTGATCTAGGATAAAGACTGATGGGACTGGTGGCTAATGTATTTTCTATGTTTGTTTTTTCCTGATACACTCCAGAAAGTAAGATGTGCTTATGATCCACTGGCTTTTCAAAGATCTGTTAGTCTTACCTGTACAACAACAGCAAACTGTGTTGTCAAAAAATGTTGTCTTTTTCTGTGAATTTAGACCTAAAAAAGGTAAAATATAAACAATCTTAATACCTCGAGACACTGTAAAAGTTCAGGAAAATCAACACAAATCTTACCGTCTCAACTGATTAATTATATATCAACATCTAAAGCAGTAAAAAGTAGTGATAAATACTTTTAGGGCTGCACCCAACATTTATTTTTCATTATTCATTTACTATTTTCCCACTAACCAATTAAAAATGAGCTCTATAAGATGTTAAATGGATTCCTAGAGCCTTCAGGTAATGTCTATTTAATTAATGCATCAGCTAATCCCTCTGCGTGTCATGGAGATGTGAAAAAGTCATTCCATTGTTTCTCAAAAAGTTTCTCAATGCCGTTTGTGACGGAATTGAAAATGACAAATGAGAGCTTTGAAGTGTAATTAGGGAGCACACTTCAGACACGCACTCACTCTGTGTACGTTGTGTGTTGAATTCAGAGCAGCTTATCTGTTACATAATAAAGCCCGGTGCTGCTGGGTTGGGAACATCAGGTCTGGCGATGAGGGAAGAGAGTCGTGGTCTCGCTGCAGGTCTGAACTCTGAGCGACCCCTGATTCTTCTCCCAGAATCAGGGAGGGGGGGGGGGGGGGGGGGGGGGGATCAGAATGAAGAAACCTGCCGACTTGTTCTGCTGCACATCCACACAGACTGTGACAGCTCAGCATTGGAAACACTCGCTGCTGGATAATGAGGCCGTCTCACTCATCCTCCCTGTACAGAGAGAAGATGAATTAGTAAAGAGCTGATGCAGAGCAGGGAACAGATTTCTACAACTGATGTATGCATCCTTTGTTTTCAGGGCTGCACCATTTTGAAAAATTGCCATTATATTGAGTGATGTTGCAATATGATTCGCAAAATTGGAGCGAACGATACATTTTGAAACATTATTCACAGTATAAATAAAAAATTGATTTATAAAAAAAAAAAAAAAAAAAGGCTCAAGGGAAGGATTTTTGAGCTGAGGATTTTATCCAAACAAGGATTTTATTAAGTTTGTGGAATATCTAGGACTCACTACAATACTTAATTCAGAACAATATTTTGACATATTTTTATTTTACCAAATAAAGCGTATATTGATAATTTAAACTGATTTTGAAGCCCTACTGACTAAGGTTTTTAATTTAAATCCATACACAAAGAAACACCTGGGCTTAAAGGTAGGGTAGGTAAGTTTGAGAAACCGGCTCGAGATACACTTTTTGTTATATTCCATGGAATGCTCTTAACATCCCGATAGCAATGAATATCTTAAGTGCTTTGACAAAAAATCCATAAAAAAATGTCATCTGTGGAAGCCGTAGTACTGTAAAAAGCACGACCAATCATTTTAGCCGGCCCGGCTAAAATAACTGGATGGCCTACCTGCCTGTCAGCCTTCCATCGGGGCACAAACTTATCTCGTGCCCTCATTGGTCATGTGCGCGTTCGTGTGTGTTGGAGGAGGGGCTCTGTAAGGAAGTGGCAGATTTTCTCCGGTTGTGTATTTTCAAATTCTAGCGATCTCGAGCCGGTTTCTCAAACTTACCTACCCCACCTTTAATCCACATTTTTGGAAGTTGTATAATCTTGTATACGGATATTATGTTTTTCTTCTTATGGTTACCATCCACATTATATTTATACCAATAAACCCTTTGCCTTGTTGCCACTGGATGTTTGAAATATCTTTCTGAATAGTTGCGAAGCATCTTCAGAACAAGTAAATTTAATAGCTAAATTAAAGACAAGAAGATTCGGAGACAGTTGCTTCCCGCGGGCAGTGAGACTGTTAAACAATTGAACTGCTGAAACAATTTCAAAACATTCATCTGCTACTAAGTAATATGTATCTAATATCTAATATATATCATTCCAATAACTTGTATATAGACTCGTACTGCACTATTCCACATGCTCACTTATTTTATAACTATTTTTCTTTTTGTATTGCTCTTGCTATCTGTATTATGTTGCATTGTTGGAGAAGCCTGTGACATAAGATTTTCAACAACATAATTACTCTGTAGCTATGTCAGTTTGACAATAAAGAACCTTGAACCTTGAACCTTGAGCTTCTTAAAGTTTCTTTAAATGGGTATTGTTTGGGTGATGGATAAACTCTTTTTCTGAAAATGTGCTTATAATTCTCAGCTTGACTTGAATTACTCAGAAGGACAAGGACGTCCATTGTCTGTGTTTTTACCTCTACCGTCATCCGCAAAGTGTTTTGTATTTAAGAATATCACATTTATTTCGACACTAATCAAAAGGTTTTTTCTCTTCCTCTCTGTCAGACGTGCCAGCGCCGGAGCAGCCCGAGCTGTTCCTGAAGAAGCTGCAGCAGTGCTGTACTGTCTTTGACTTCATGGACACGCTGTCGGACCTCAAGATGAAGGAGTACAAGCGCTCCACGCTCAACGAGCTGGTGGACTACGTGACCGTCAGCAGGGGCTACCTGACAGAGCAGGCCTACCCCGATGTCGTCAAAATGGTGAGGAGGGATGCACATTCAAAAACTTGTTGTGGTACAGACATCAAAACCATTGTCTAATCTAGTGTTTTCCCAACCTTAATAATAATAATACAAGTTATTTATATAGCACTTTTCCTGGTGCTCAAAGCTTATGACCCGTTATATTTATATATTTATTTTGTTTTGGCGCTCAGATTATAGTTGCAACACCTTCAGTGAATTAGTAGAATACCGCTAATATAAAAGACAACCTTGAAGTAGAAAGCAAGGGTTGGCGGTAGGGCTGTATCCGAATATTCGTTCGTTGGAGTACTATAATCAGGTTTCAATTTCGTTATTTGTTTTTTTGTTTTTTTAAATTGAATTTATTGAAAACTCCAATATCAACGTAAAAGCTTGTGCCTCTTCGGGGGGTGCTAGCACTTAACCATAAATGTTATTGTTTACTTTCTCCGTCTTTGTATGTAGATATTACTTTTTCTCCGTTAATCTCCGTCACGTTGTTTCCATAGCAACAACAACTTCCTGTCAACAGCGCTAACTCTCCTTCAAAATAAAAGCATGACCATACAAAATAGGAAGCCAAGCCAAATTACACTTAACACATATACAACTGCAACGAAAGTAACAAACACAATGCAATATCCTTTTCAATTTCAAAGAACACAAATTGGGTTACATACATTAACAAATAACTATAAAACAACAATACTGTAGAATAACTAAATGCATGCCTTGAATAAACCGAAATACACGTGTGGAAGCGGGCTGCTGATTACTACGCACCCCCCCCCCCCCCCCCCCGCGTGGGCCTTCTGTTTTCTGACTGACCCAAAGTTTCCTGACGATGGGAGGCTCCTGGTATTATTGCCTTCGACATTAACACGAGATGAACCCTTTATATTCAAACAAATATAATGTTTTATTTTTGCTCATAAACTTTCCCTCACATTCCTAAATCTTAAGAAGATGAATTACAGGCTGGTTTTTCATTCATTTGCGGCTGTATGCTTTTAGATAAAAGCCAGACTCACTCACTCATGCAGAGCCGTAAACTCACCGCACTCGAGTCCTGACCCATTTTCCTCCCTCGCTGTCGTGTGACCCTGATCTGCACTCGTACACTTACATCAGCAGCCCAGAATAAAGCAAGAAGCTACACACAGAGCTTCAAAGCAATGCAAGTTTACCAGTGTTGTTGTTGCTGTTGTTGGCTAAACAGACAGTTTTTCATTTGAAATGTAAATATGTGAACGTTACAATATCGAACATGTAGATTTGTATAGCCTATTTTAGCATTTTGCATCACTTTGGAGAACAGATTAAAATGTAAAATTAAATGATTTAAACTCGGCAGCAGTGTTGAAGTCAATGCGTTAAATTAAGAAGATTGAAGATTCAACTTATTGTCATTACGTAGTACAGGTACTATGTAACGAAGCGGTTTCTCTGCATTTGACCCATCTTAGTGTTAGGAGCAGTGGGCTGCCATTACGTACGGCGCCCGGGGAGCAGTGTAGGGAACGGTGCCTTGCTCAGGGACAATTTAGGCAAACATTTCTCTAAAAAATAGACTAATTTAAGTCCTGAGAATAGTTCTGTGAATATTTATTTGTCTGTTAATCTTATCTGTTTGCAGTCAAGAAAAATAACAGCCAAAGAAAACTAAGGGTCGCTCAGGTGTGGTGTGATGCAGGGACACAAAGCAGATTTTGATGGGGTCATGATTGCATACAAAGTCAATAAAAGATGTGATGTGATGCCGACATGCCTATAGCTAGCTAAGATGTATCCACAAGCATTACACATCATTTAGTCTTTATGACAAAGCAAAGAAAAAAGGCAGGAACTAAAAATAAAAGAAAGCCTTTTCATGTTGCTAACTAGATTCAGCTAACGTGTGTACATTGGGTGTTTGGTCTACTTGTACCAAATGAACACAGGCAGTACACACACACCAGAATAAACATTTGCATGAAAAAAAAGTCATGAAAAAATGTCTCATTGACTTGTATCTGGTTGCAACAGAGAACACAACTTACTAAATGAATATTGTGGACTAGGAAGATTTCAACGTTGGTTCTCCATAGAGAACATATACAAGAACTTAAATACATGTTTTAAATATGAAGCAGTTATAATTAGGTTGTATGTAAGCTGATAATCATGTCCCTCTGTGTTTTTTGTACCAGGTGTCTCACAACATATTCCGGACCCTTCCGCCCAGTGACAGTAATGAGTTTGACCCCGAGGAAGACGAGCCCACACTCGAGGCCTCCTGGCCACACTTACAGGTAAACACAGCCTCACAGAAGTGTTTGTGTATTCACTTACGCTCAGTTTGTATCTTGTATATTTAATTTGTACACAAAGCAACAACTTAAAGGTACAGTTATGTGCTATTTCTTCCTTTTATTATCTATCCACCCAGCATTTGTGGCTGTAGCCCAGTTTGACAGATACTTCCACAGCTTTTGGTCTGTGTACATGCCTGTTGGTACCAAACTTTGCAACCTTACTGCGATCATTTTGAACACCTTGATGTATGCAAAAAAAGCCCATAACGTACAAATATATGACTAGTTTTTAAACCTAACTGACATCAGAGACTCTGTGATGCTGCAAAAAGTCACTTAAATAAACTGTCAAGAAAATGTTCTACCATGTATCTAACCCCTAAAACCACATGTCTGTTTGTTTACTGATTAGAAATGAGGACACAGCGTGGTAATTAGTGAGCTTTAGACATATTTAGGGGTCTATTTTAAACAGACAGATCCAGGCTAGCTGTTTCCTTTTGCTTCCATGTATGCTAAGCCAGGCACAGATTTTCTGCCCACGACTCCTTTAGAGATTAGATGCAAATCTCAAGGAGATCCTTCCTGGTGGTTTTCTTAATTTCCAAAAGGAACATGTCCGACATTAATTGTATTTTCTTCATGGTCTTTTTGTTGTACAGCAGGAAGTGTGACTGTAGTTTGTTTCCGGTGTTATTCAGAGTCGATTGAAGCGAACTTCAAACTCACAATTGACAAATCGGACAAATCTTCCGACACAGCAGCTGATGGAAGAAGTTGCCCATTGACATTTTAGCACTTTTTCTTTTGTTTTCACATCAACCACATTCCTTTCTTCTTCTCCTCTTTAGTTGGTATACGAGTTCTTCATCCGGTTCTTGGAGAGTCAGGAATTCCAGCCCAGTATTGCCAAAAAGTACATAGACCAGAAGTTTGTCCTACAGGTGAGTCCGTCTGCTCCAAATGTCTTCAGTTCATCCGTCTCACTCGTTTCTTCCTCCATGTTTTTTTTCCTCCCGGCTGTCCTCTCTGTGTCTCTTTTGCTTCAACGTTTTTTTTCTATTCTCTTCCTCTGGGATTATGATTTCTTTATCTGTCTGCGTTCCTTCTCTCCGCGCAGCTCTTGGAGTTGTTTGACAGCGAGGATCCTCGGGAGAGAGACTACCTGAAGACAGTCTTGCATAGAATCTACGGCAAATTCCTGGGTCTGAGGGCTTTTATACGAAAACAGATCAATAATATTTTTCTACGGTGAGTAATTAGTCTGTCGAAAATGTCTTAAACTGTTTTTATCCATTTAATGTTGTTTCCACTCTAATAATCACAGGATTCTTAGCACCGTGTATCCACTTTTATTTGCCTGTTCCCTTGTAAGTTTCGTATATAAAGTGTATATCTAGTTAAAAAAGATGTCAAGCTTCTTCAGACAAGGGATTAAAATGTACTTTCTGGAATTATAGGAATCGTTGCTAAAAAGGAATAGACGAGACTAAGCTTAATGACAGAAATGTCGCTCACATTTGTTAGATTACTAAGCAGCAGAATTGTTTCGGAAAGAACACAATATTTAAGGTTAGAAAAGGTGACCTATTTTATCACTAGCTGGTACAAAAAGTATTCACAGTGTACTTGGCAACTCAGCTTTATGAATATTAGAAAACATGATTTTGACAAATGTGTGTTTTCAAGTTATTTCTGTGTCCAGCATCGACACAGTTAAACAGAAGTCATGTCAAATAATTCTGGTGTTTGTTTTTCTGCCAGCCATTTATAATCTCCATTCAATGTGGTCATTTACAAATCATCTGGGTTTAGTAGTTGATCTCCTCTCACTTGTCTCCCCTCTCCTGTGCCTCCCCCCCTCTCTGGCTGCAGTTTTGTTTATGAGACGGAGCACTTCAACGGGGTGGCTGAGTTGCTGGAGATCCTGGGGAGGTATGTGGAGGCCTCCGACCCTCAAACACACACTTACACACACCTCTGTTAGCTGATGCTTTGAGACAGAACACACAGACCTCAGAGCGCCAGCAGAACTGAGCTCTACTCTGATAACCACCTGTTTTCTTTAGTTGTAATGATATAAGAATGTCGCTCATTTAATCATACTCGCTTAGGGGGATACTGATCTTCTTCAAGAGACTCCCCAGATAACAAAATACAGATAAGAAATGAAGAGAACTCAAAAGCTGATTCTCTTTTTATGGAGCCAAATGATAGTGTAGATGTGAAGTTCAGGGAAGAGTCAGGAGCAGAGTTTGACTTGTAGATAAGACATGAATTAATCCTTTCGGCTCAACAGTCTTTTTAATCCATACAAAATAAAGACCCACACACACACAGTTCATCAGATTTATATCAGGATTAGTTGATAAAAACGAATTAAATATTCTTAAATATCGCTAATTTGCTCACAGCTACGTCTGTGTTGTTGAGAATACAGGTTAAAACAATTGGTCAACTAGTTGATTTACACATAAAAAAATCTACCAATTGCTAATTCCTTTAGCAGTTCTGCTGCTATAAGCTTTACTCCATTTATTTTCTAGCACAAAAGAGGGAAATATTTTGTAATTTCATCGAAGAAGGTGCTGTGATTAGCTGATACATTGATTATCAATTGACTGAAAACATTAATAAAGACCTTGAAAACAACATATTTGATCCATACATTTCGAAAGAGAGTTTTTTTTCTTAGAGGAGCTTCATCTCTTTATTTCTCCTCCAGGCTCCACTGCCTGTATAAACAGTCTCCTTTATTCCTGCTGCTCATTGATCTCCCACTTGCTTTCAAAGCGTCACAATGAGACTCTTTCATGTGTTCAAGTTTAATTTATGTTTATTTCTTCTCTATTTTTCTCTCCTCTCCCTCAGTATAATCAATGGTTTCGCTCTGCCACTGAAAGCGGAGCATAAACAGTTTCTGGTCAAAGTGTTGATCCCCCTCCACACCGTCAGGAGTCTGTCCCTTTTCCACGCACAGGTAACACATCTCTACCAATAGGCCACAAAGCAACCGACTGATTTTTCAAAAATAACTTCTTCTTAATGCATAGACTTGAATTAGTTTGACCTTTTTTGATACCTGGTAACTGGAATGACAACATTGTTAACACAGAGTTGCTAGAGCTTTTAAAAATAAACTTAGACATAAGACCTTTTTCATGCAAACTGTAATGACTTTTTATAGAGTGAGTCAACGTATTAAAGGTGGGGTAGGTCATTCACTTCAGATACACTTTTTGTTATATTCCATGGAATGCTCTTAACATCCAGCAATGAATACATTAAATGCTTTGACAATAAATACATTAAGAAATTTCATCTGTGGAAGCCGTGGCGCTGTAAAAAGCACGACCAATCATCTGAGCCGGCCCGGCTAAAATAACTGGATGGCCTACCTGCCTGTCAGCCTTCCATCTCGTGCACAAACTTATCTCGTGCCCTCATTGGTCATGTGCGCGTTCGTGTGTGTTGGAGGAGGGGCTCTGTAAGGAAGTCTGAAGGAAGGGGCAGATTTTTTTCGGCTGCGTACTTTCAAATTCTAGCGCACTCGAGTTGGTTTCTCCATTCTTACCTACCCTACCTTTAAGTTAATTAGCCTTTTAAATTAATCAACTTTCCCAATTGAACATAACTTTGCCGAATGGGCCTCCAAGCAGAATATGTTTTGACCATATGCTAAAAAATTAAACAATTTCTATCTGTTTTCAAAATAATTTGGCTTTTGGAATTATTAAAACTGTTTTCAATGCGTCTTTGTATTTGAGCTTGTGCAGGAGTTTGCATGATGTGTTGTGCTTTGTACGAGTTTGCGTTACTCAGTGACTAGTACTGTTGTATGCTAAGCTAAAGGCTAAAGTGTGTCCTCGCATGTTGTCTCCTCTCTCCTTGTAGTTGGCGTATTGCATTGTACAGTTCCTAGAGAAAGACCCAACATTAACAGAACCAGTAAGTATCCACCAACAGATAATGACAGCTGTTATTTAACTGTGTTTTAATAGTCTCCATTATTTATTTTCCATTAACTCCAGAGTGTCTTTGTCAGTTAAAGGTGAACACAATCAATTACTCAATAACTGCCATGGTAGATTTTAACATTACAGCTGGTAATTGAGGTTGATCAGAAATGGGGCAGACAGCGCCTCATTGAGGGGGAAAGGAGAAGTTCAATGAAAGTAAAAACAATTATTGTAGCTTTTCTAAACTCAGCCTCTTCATCATCCTCAGGTGATCAGAGGCTTACTGAAGTTCTGGCCAAAAACTTGCAGTCAAAAAGAGGTGAGGCCTCTTTAACTTCGTTTCACTTTGAATGGTGTGTTTTTCTCTGTGTGTGTGTGTGGTAATGTTTCTTTTGTCCGTTGCTGTGTGCAGGTGATGTTTCTAGGAGAGCTGGAAGAGATCCTGGACGTCATCGAGCCCACACAGTTTGTGAAGATCCAGGAGCCGCTCTTCAAACAGATCTCCAGATGTGTGTCCAGCCCACACTTCCAGGTCAGTCAGCATCCACCGCTGATCAACTGTTAGGATGGAAATGACTGATAGGTGGTTTACTTGCAATGTAGTGTAGAAACAGGCATGTACATAATCTGTTTAGGGATTTGTAAGAGTAGTTAGGAGTGTTTTAATACCGTTTTAAAGTGTCCTTAAAACCTATTTATATAAAGGCATCGCCCTAACTTTTTTTTACTGATTATTTTAATTATTTTATATGTTTGCATTTCCTCATATATCATAATTTTCTATTTTTTTTTTATATCTATTTGTCAAAAGAAAATCCTTTTTTTGTATTTTAAAATACTTTTTTAACTTTACGTATTTCATTATATTATTTTCTGTATCATAACTTAGGGCAACACCTATACCATTTAAGGCTTTCGTCTATAACAAACATATTTGGGAAATGAATGGGAGGACACAAGTAAAAAAAAAGAAGAGATATTCAGGATTCTCCACAGACACTGAGCCAGGTTTGTGTTTTGGTGGCAGGTTGCGGAGCGAGCTCTCTACTACTGGAACAACGAGTACATCATGAGTCTGATCGAGGAGAACTCCAGCGTCATCCTGCCCATCATGTTCGCCAGCCTCTACAGGATCTCCAAAGAGCACTGGAACCCGTGAGTAACGCTTGAAAGGAATCACCCTTTATGTACAAAAATAAGACTACATTGGATCTTTTTTAAGAAATGATCAAAATTCTTTAGGTTTAAGATCATTTTAATTGAGCTTTGATTCAATGTTCGCACATCGAGTCATGTGGTGTCTGTGCATTATTGCTGAGCAGCAGCTCTCCTTTGTTTTTACTGTTTTTCTCATGACCTGAAATTCACACTGAGCCGTTTTTTTTACCACATGACGGCCCTGTTTACTGTAAACAGCAGACAACACAACTTCTGAGTGCATGACCGACTTTATTTATTTTAAAATCTTGAATATTAAAGGTGGGGTAGGTAAGTTTGAGAAACCGGCTCGAGATACACTTTTTGTTATATTCCATGGAATGCTCTTAACATCCCGATAGCAATGAATATCTTAAGTGCTTTGACAAAAGATCCATAAAAAAATGTCATCTGTGGAAGCCGTAATACTGTAAAAAGCACGACCAATCATTTTAGCCGGCCCGGCTAAAATAACTGGATGGCCTACCTGCCTGTCAGCCTTCCATCGGGGCACAAACTTATCTCGTGCACTCATTGGTCATGTGCGCGTTCGTGTGTGTTGGAGGAAGGGCTCTGTAAGGAAGGGGCTGTGTATTTTCAAATTCTAGCGCACTCGAGCTGGTTTCTCCAAAATTACCTACCCCACCTTTAAACATATAACTCTAGGAAAACATTTGTTAAAACCTGTCTTTTAAAATGCATTTAATTACAACTCTGTACGAAGTCAACATCCTACTATTGATCCAAAACAGCCATTTGAAGGCATACTCGGAGGAAGTCACTCCATAAATAACATATACTTTACTGCTGGTAGGTTTCTCATTTATTTGAATGGGATCATTTATAATTCTATAAGTTAAAACACTGTTGTTAGAAATTGAATTTTATTATGCTAATTAAAGGTATGCTAAAGATACGTTAGCATGTCAATATGTCCAACTTCTCACGTTTTTTAAAAATCTAAATAATGAACTATAAAATCATATATTCACATTTCAATATAGTAAGAAATGAAACCTACGTGCTGCTCTTTAAATGGATTTGTCTCGTGGACTCTTGATAAAGGTTTCTAGCCGCTGTAAATCCAGATGTTGTCAGTTGTAAACTCTGCTCCTCTCCTCCTGCAGGGCCATCGTGGCGCTGGTGTACAACGTACTGAAGGCCTTCATGGAGATGAACAGTACCTTATTCGATGAACTCACAGCCACTTACAAGTCGGACCGCCAGCGGTGAGGAGCTGCTCACTCACCCCATCATCTCATTTATTAATGTTGTGAAAGTTAATGACACCTGCAGGGAGCTGCTTAACACAACCACAGCGTTACTATCATCATCACACCCTACAAATATCAGGACTAATGTCCGGCAGTGGCTCAGTCAGTAGGGGCTTGGACTGGGAGCCGTAGGGTCGCTGGTTCAAGTCCCCGACCAGACCTAAATATGGAGTGTGGACTTCTACTTGGAGAGGTCCCAGTTCACCTCCTGCCCTGCCGTGGTGCCCTTGAGCAAGGCACCGGACACCCCCCTTCCCCCCTCACTCCCATTGCTCCCCGGGCGCTGTACAATAGCTGCCCACTGCTCCTAGTACTAGACTCCTGGTACTAGGATGGGTTAAATGCAGAGGCCAAATTTCACTGTGTGCTGTGTGCTGTGTGCTGTGTGCTCTGCATGTGACCATTAAAAGAGGGTTTCATCCCTCCCAATTCTAATTCTAATTCTAATACAAACTGTGCTTATAAAACAGCAGCACTAATGAGTGAGTTAGTAACCGCGCTAGAAGTAGGAAAACTAAGAATATAATATCGTACAGGCTTTTTAATAGATGTAATGAAAAGTATGTCCTGCCTATGTAATAATAAAGCTTCAGCGCTCAATCTGAAAGCCAGATAGCGAGGGACGAAGATCTGAGTAAGGCAAAAAGTTCAACGCTCACCTCATCAGTGTCCTACCGTTTGATACGCTCCATGCCGACTCTCAGAAAAAAACTTTAAACTGAATGCTTTGTAATATTATCCACAACGTTACATTTTTTCCTAAAGATAATGTACCTAACTGATCACATATCCCTACATATTTAAATATCTGAAGAAACCAATGATGTTGGCAGAGATTCAGAAGTTTAAAAGCAGGCTCTAGTGTCTCAAACACAAAATAAAACTCCATGTTTTTTTGTCGCAGTGAGAAGAAGAAGGAGAAGGAGCGGGAGGACCTCTGGAAGAAGCTGGAGGATTTGGAGCTGAAGAGGGGCCTTAGGAGCGATGGGATCCCAACTTAACAAAGACAGCGCCGCGCTCCCCCTCTGCCCCCCCCCCTCCTCTCCCCCTGTGACTCCCCCCCCCCCAAACCCCAAACCCCAAACCCCAAACCCCAAACCCCAAACCCCAAACCCCAAACCCCAAACCCCTCCACATCAGCCATGTCTGCCCAGAGCTCCGAGAAATCCCCGATACAGGTCGCCGTCTCTGGATCGTCACGGAGAGCCCGCTGGTTTCTTAATTGTTTTTTTGTTTTTTTCTTATGTTTTTTTTTTTCTCCTGTGTTTGTGCGACTTACTTTACAGTAGATTCATCACGTCTGTTTTCATTATTTCAACAGCACTGTAAATAATTTGTTTTCCCTTAAACTGATATTATTGCAAACAGAAAAACAAAACAATAATAATAAAAAAGGAAGAAAAAAATAGTAAATGAGAAAATGACTTGTGTGGGCGGGTGGATTAAACAACATAAAACGTTTGGACTGTAGGACGCGAGAAGAACTCTTGGAAAACATTAAACGACAAAAAAAGAAGATCGATCGATTTTAACTCTTCGTCCCGCTCTGCTTCCATACAGTCCCGTGTTTCATTTTTATTTTCATGGTTCTCCTCTTTGCTTTTCCTCTCGTAGCCTCCGACTTTCTGTTCCCTCCCTCCTCTCTAATGGGGCATCTGTCATTTCTGCCCCCGTGTGGGACATCCGGACTGATAATGGGTTCCCCCTCCTCATTAAGGTTCCTCTCTGGCCCCGCCCTCCTGTCGTCAGGTTCTCCTTCCTGTTTTGAACGGTGAAAAACAACTGAATAAATCACATTTAAAAAAAAAAAAAAAAAAAAAAAAACAGTAACAGGGACCTTCAGTACACACAGATCTTTAAGTGCGTTTACATGCGTGTCCATGGAAGAGTTCCTTGTTTGGGTATTTAATCTAGATCTGAATATTGTTTTTTCCATTCTGTAATATAGTATCTACCTTTTTCAGTAGATATTTAATTACTTCAAGAAAAAATGCAGAAAAAGTGGATATTTTCTCATCAAAAGACATCGGAAGTTGGTTTTAAAAAAACATCGCCTTATTTACATTTTACTGCTACAGGTAAAAAAATCATGCAATTTCGACCACAAAATCACTTTTGGTTTTCTTGCATTTCCTGTGGCTCCTTCACAATAAAATCACTGCAATCAATCACTTAAAGGGGACCTATCATGCACAAATGCACTTTTGTACGTCTTTTATACATGAATATGTGTCCCCGGTGTTCCAGGGAACTCACCAAGTGTCAGAAAACACAACCCTCTCTATTTTCCTCCATACCCAAATCTCTAAAAAAGGGGCTGCAACGGATCTGATACAGACTGATCCAGATTTGAACACTTTCCTGACGTCAGGAGAGTGGCGCTACGGCTATTGGGCCAACTCCACCAATCAGGAGGAGACAACCACGGCATTGCCGTTCAAAATCGCTGGAGACGTTGTAGTACATATGCCAGGCCTCTAGATCAGGGGTGGGCAATTATTTTTTCCATGGGGCCACATGAGAAACTGAAAATATTGTGGAGGGCCGGGCCAAAAGGCTGAACTCAATTCTGCATAATATTAATTGTATTTCTTTATAAAAAGCAGTAAATAGCATTGTTTTGACAAGCTGGTAAGAGTATATGTTATAGTTAAGCAATGAAAAAGTGAGGTTGCCTTACAAAAAAATGTCATTTATTAAATCAAATTTCCCAAAACAATGGTAAACAAAATGAACGTTTTTCACCATTTGTGACTCATATTAGTGAATATTTTCAGTCACATTCACTCAAACACATTTTGAGTTTCATTTACTGTTGGAAAGAGGTTCTTAGCATTCTAAAGACATCACAATATTGTCTTTGTACTCCAAATATTAAGCAAGATACATCATATTGAACTGTCACTAAACATCACTGAACTGTGATTTTGAGAAAAAGGCTTCCAAAGAAAGTGTCCCAGTTCACTGCTAGTTGGTGCCTTTACATGCCAACATTTGTAGTCTAACCACCTCATTTGGTGTTTTTAAGTTCTCTTTTCTTGTTCAGTGAGAGAAATCTAGTCTCTGCTGGGCTTTAACGAGTGCATCAAAGTCAGGTTGAATGTCTGAGGTGGAGATGCGAAGCACAGCTGACAGATGATCATCAGTGAGAGAGGATCTATACCTGGATTTCGTAAACTTCATAATTGAAAATGTTTGTTCACATATGTATGCGTGTCCATGCACTCGTTTACCTCCGTGAACAGATCGCTCCCTGTCGTCGTCCCTTTCATCGACCGCATTGCTGCCAGCTCCTCCGTAATCTTGAAGTCCGGTGTTATCCCGCGGACGAATACGAGTAACTGGGCTGTGTCGCGGACATCACAGCTCTCTTCCAAAGCCAAGGAGAAAAAGTCGTAACTTGCCACTTCACGTTGCAGCTGAAGCTCCAGATTCCCCGCAATGTCCTCGATCCTTCTAGTCACAGTTCGCCTGGACAGCGGGACTTGCTCAAATGCGGCTTTTTTTTCAGGGCATATTAGTGCTGCAGAGTCCACCAAGCACTCTTTGACAAACTCCCCCTCCGAGAACGGCTTACTGTTTTTAGCAATTTTGTGGGATATCACAAAGCTGGTCATGGTTGCTGCATCACTGGATGTGTGAAGCTTGGTAAAAAAGCCTTGCTGCTTTTGCAGCTTAGCTAGCAAAGCTTCCGATGTCCGCGCCCTTTCAGCGTCAGTCAAGTTTTTATATTTCTCCGCGTGTTTCGTCTCGTAATGTCGACTCACATTGTACTCCTTAAACACGGCGATCTGCTCCCCGCAAACTAAACACACGGTTTTACCTCCGACTTCAGTAAATAAATACTTAGCAGTCCAATTTTTGTTGAAAACCCTGCATTCAGCATCTACCTTTCTTTTTTTAGCGGACATTTTTTTGAGGGCTAAAGTCGTCTTGTGACAAGGATCCAATAATGTGTACGTCTTGATATACGTATTGCGTCATTATGCACGTGAATAAAAAACAACTTCAAAATAAAAGCAATGCAGCTTTAGTCCATGCATGAGGTAAAGTTAGAAAATATGTTTATTTTGTCATTTCCAATTAGCCTTACACGGGCCGGTCAGAGTCAACCAAAGGGCCGTATGTGGCCCGGGGGCCGTACGATGCCCAGGTCTGCTCTAGATGGTGCTGTTGCTCACAGAATCAACCCCTGCTAAAACAGATCTAAAAAATGTCAAAATGAGGCATGGCTAAAATGCATGATCTGTTTGGTATTTTGAAAAAAAAAAGTATAAATATGCCTTATATAGGTATGGTCCTACACTATATTATTCAAATATAGCATGATAGGTCCACTTTAAGTTAAATTCTGATGCAGCTACACAAGGCGATCAAAAGATGGGGGAAGGCAAGCTATGTTTATTAAGATAGCATTGGTATACAAAAAGTGACTGTGCACTGTAACTAAACTGTATTTGAAAGCTATCAATAAGACAAAAAGGTAGGAGTTGAGGTTTGTGCACTCTTGCCTGCCACTCACAGAGAAAACTCTTTTATTAAATGCAAAAAAATAATTTCTGCATTCATGCTCGGTTTGAATCACAATTGCGGTTCGAAATTGTGACATTTCCTACACCACCATGTGCAGGATTTCAGGTCTTTTTTTGCTTTTAGTTTGGTGGACGTATCACCTGGTGAACGACAAACAAAGTCAACAGGAGAGAAGAATGTACATAACGATATGAACTTGAACCAATGAATTCAACAACATTTTTAAGCGAATTTGAGGAACAAAACAAGTGTATTTAATGCAAAGATAATCATTTAAATGTCCCGACTCCATGCCTCTGCGTCACATGACCTTGGATACTTTTCATTTTTGAAGAAAAGCGTTGTATCCTGCTGAAATTAGCTCACACCCTGGTTGTTTCAAATCCTGTTTACCACCATTTATATTAGCTTTTTTCATACAGGGTTGTAATCCAGCTTCATATAAATAAGAATATAAAGTGCGTGAACCTGCATGTAAACGCACTTCCTCCTATACATCCTCCTCCAAAAACAGACTCCTTCTCATCCAGTTGATTTAATATTCCTCCTTCCCTCCATCTTATGAATTGTTTGACCCCTCCCTCCCTCCTTATATCCCTGGTATCAGTCTGGCACTGGTACCCTGCGGCCATAACAGGGACTAATAAAAAGTCTTCAGAGGAGAGCCAAAAATCTTGCTCCTGTTGTGAAAAGCCGAGCGCCCCTGCCTCCCCTCACTCCCCCCACAATCCTCTGCCCACCTGGGGGGCGCCGCGTTGACTACAACAATAACAAAAAGACGACCTTGTACATTGTTATTGAATGCAGTACACTGATAATCTTGTATCTTGTAGTAATTTAGCCTATGTTCTTTTGCTTAGGAAACTGTGGAGGGGAGTATCCAGTATATAAAGAGGTATTATGGAACAAGACTTCCTGGTATTTATGATAGTGTCTCCCCCCCCCCCCCCACCCCCCTTTTATTAGTCTGTTTTTATTTTAATTTGATGTCTCTCACTCCCCCCTCTTTTCTTGGTTTTTATCTCATTTTTGGATATTTTGATGAAGTTTCTTTTGACCATTTGGATATTTTTTTTTTTAGTTGGGGAGGGAGGGTGAGGGTGGGGGTGGGCATAGTAGTCAGGGGCTCAGGGGTCAGAGGAGGGAGGTATGGAGCAGACCACTTTGTCCTCTTGCAGGGGTCTTACCTCCTGCCCTCGCAGAATTAATGTGTGCTTTAGAACGGCCCGGATATAATATGATCTAAAAACTGAAAAAAAAAAAAAAAAAGATTAAAAAGGGTTGGAGAAATACAAATGTTTAATTATTTAAAAAAATAAAGAGATATTAAATTAAACCTGTGTTGTGATAAAGCCCAGATGCTGGATTGCGTTCTTTAATGGGTTCACAGGGTGTGTGTGTCTGTGTGTGTGTGTGTGTGTGTGTGTGATAAACCTAAAAAGTATACAAACATACTTTTTCAGGTTTTTCATTTGGATTTGAAATGTCAGGCCGACAACTACTTGAAACAATTTTATTTTTCC